CAGATGACTGCAAGAAATATAAATCCATTCTCCACCATTCAATGAAAAAAGCTTCTTGGATGAGAAGTGAAACATCTTCCTCAAGGAAAAATACAGTCTAGTTGCCTTTTAAAAAAGCACATTTGAGATATGTTCACAGATGTCATTTCTAATTTGATATCAGAGCTGTGATTTAGAAATAGGATAGCTCTTTTCGGCTTGTGTGATAAATTTTACAGGTTTCTTTTTAATAATGCCTCAGTACTTTCAAGTGCCACTGGAGTTCCATGCTATCTTTTTTCCTTTGGTCTGTGCTGAAATTACCCTATGCTGGAAGAAGCAACCACACACAATCCTTTTGCAAATGAACATATAAGTTACAACAAATGGGAACTAAATTCTAAAACAACTGAAAAGCAACAGATTGTTTGCCCGTAATCTGCATAAACAGTATGCATCAACCCTTTTCAATGACTGCAGTATTTCATAGGGAGCAAAAAAAAAAAGAGATACATTCACAGGGGAATCCAAGAATTATATTCAAAGGTTCCTTCCTCCAATGGAAAGAGTCTTCCACTGATAGAAAAGATCCTTTTGTCAGAGGAAATCAACCTTTGGATCTAATCCCAAATGTCTCAAACACTTCAGTTGAAAGGAAATGGCATTTCCCTCTCCAATTTAGAAGGTTCTTAAAGGATATTATGGAAAACAGGTCAATCGGGGGTTATAATCATTGTAACTAAATGTCATCTCCATTATGTGCTATTCTTTTGAATAGCAGATTCTGAGGATTACTGTTAACTATGATTTCTAATTTAGATCTTCCATTTATCTAATCATCACTATCATCTAAATGAACCATTACCAAACAAGTGTCCTTCAATTGCAAAGGATATTCTAGGGGAGATATCCCAAATACATCCGGATGACACCAAAACACTGTTCTATCAGAAAGATCTGTGTGAAAAAGCATGCAGACAAGAGATTAAGATTTAGCTAGTATCAATTGTTGGTTTCTAGCAGTGGTGAAACCTAAAAATTTTCCTACAGGTTCTGTGGGCGTGGCTTGGTGGAGGTCATGTGATTGGATGGGTGTGGCTATGTAGTCATGTGACTGGGGGATCAAAAGACAGAAACTCACAATGTCCTGTGAGGGGGTTGGACTAGATGACCTCCAGGTGCTTTCCAGCTCCAGATTGCTGTGCTCTTTCAAGGTATCCTGTGAAGCTGTGTCTAGTGCCAGGTTTGTGGTACTTCCTCCCTCTTCTTTTTCCCTCCCTTTCTTTTTTCTTTTTTCTTTTTCTTTCTTTCTCCCTTCCCTCCCTTTTTCCCCCATCCCTCTTTCTTTCTTTCTTTTTCTTTTTTTCTCTTCCTTTCTTTTGCAGCACCGCCCATCCCCTCCCCCATTTTTGGCCTAGCAGGCATCAGGAAGCCTCTTGGGAGTAAAAACGGACCCCAAATGCTAAAAAAAAAAAGTTTTAAAAACAGTTCCTACCATTGTGCAGCAGAGCTGTTAAGCATTTTTTACTACTGGTTCAGGTGAACCGGCCTAAACCGGTAGCATTTAACCCCTGGTTTCTAGACATAAGAAATATAAAGCATAGATCACTTAATGTCTATATTGTGGTACATTAAGATGTGATATATCTATATAAACTGTAGTTTGTTCTAAATCTGGTTCTATACAAATAGCTATACATATCCACCTATGCAAGTACTGAATAGTTCCCCTTTTGCATTGATTCATAAATGGTCACTCAAGCAGGGCCTGACCTAATCACTTAACAGAATGACAGAGTTGGAAGGGACCTTGGAAGTCTTCTAGTCCAACCATCTGCTGAAGCAGTAGAGCTGATATCATTCCAGACAAGTGGCTGTCCAATCTCTTAAAAATCTCCAATGATGGAGCATCCATAACTTTTGAAGGAGTGTCATTCCACTAACAAGTCATCCAAATGATTGGAACACTGGCACAGAACACTGAACCAAATCAAGCAATAGTTTGTTCCAACTTGGCTGTTTTTAGTATTGCTACGGCATCTCCCAGACCAAAATGGAAAGGATGGAAAGACCTGGAAAATTCTGCAGAAAATAATGGCTATCAGAATCTCCTTGTTTAAAAAGCATGGCCTCTCTGGCAAGTTGATCCAGAGAGCAATGAACAGGAATGACTTATCTGCTCATCTCTGCTCGTAGATCTTCTAGGAACATCATACTGGATGTTACTACAGATTATTTTCTTTTAACAACCACATCTGAACTCACAACAGTGTTGAGTGGTTGATGCAACCAGTCCTCATATTTATGCCAGCTGCAGTGTCCCTATGGTTACCTGCTCACATCTGCAATATTCTTGCCAAAGTGTTACAAGCAGTGTCAATGGGGATGCCAGCAAGAATTTACAAAATATTTAACACTGTCACTTAACAACTTAATCTTTTGCTTAATGATACAAACCGGAAGTGCTAGAATTTCCACTGCCAAGTAGCTAGTCATGTTGTTACAATTTATGATTCTGTCACTTAGTGATGGAAATTCTGACCTTGATTCTTTTTGTTTACATGAGGACTGCATGTATATCCAGGTTTTATGGGTGATGTTCATAAAACTGAAGGATTCTACTAGGTGACATTAATTGGCTTGCTTTTTTGGGGGGAAATGGATTCACCACCCTGCTGCTTCCTTTTCAACTTTTCTTCATTCTCTTATTTATTTTCCCTTTATTTCTAAATCTCTCTTTGTTTACACTTTCCATGTAGTATCCCCTCGGGGAGGCCTGCCTCTTGTTTTGAAAGCCAGAGGCCTTCAGTAACATGATCAGGCACTGGTGTCATTCTGGGTTGTGTTTGGTGGCTTGAGGCAAGAGAGTGGTTTCCGCAGACTGTTGTGATGTGGCGAGGACCCAGGCTCGCCTCACTCAGTCCTCGTGATGCTTAGTAAGATGGCATAAATGCTGGTTAAAGGACAAGCTTGTTGGAAGAGCCTGCAGAGACTCAATGTTGATATTCACAGGAAAGTTTTGGGCTGCAATCTGAAGCCATGGTTAGCTGAACTAAGTACACAATTCATAAAGTTTATATAAACTATACATAAAAATATATAGTTGCATAAACTATATATATATATAATTTTCTGGTTAGGTCATGTTGCTGGAATTGCAACCCGGATTGCCCCAAGTTATTTTACTGCTCACAATGGAAAATGCAAATGGTTGATTGCACCATTACAGAAGTAGTTACCCTCCGTATGATGCACCTGAACTATAACTCCAGTATACTTCACTTCTGGTCATGCTGTTTGGAGTCACAGCTCACAATATCCTCCACAAACTCCACTGATAGGAACTAAAACTGAATAATGCATTTACACATCAGTCTTCATTAATATCAGCAAAAAATATTTCTTGCAGTGCCATTTTGTGCTCTGTCCCCCAAAACAAACCATTTATGATTAATGGCATCCAAAATCTCTCCATTGTCTTTACCCATTATCTCATGAAGTTATCCCATTAACTTTACTCCAGTTGGTCAATGTTCCTTAATTGTAACATCTTCTTCAACCCTATGTAATGGAACAGAGGAGCAGAGACAGCAGAGGGCTGCTTTGCCTTGAAAAGTCCTAGAAAATAAGCATGTTGGGGACAAAAACTGTTCCAACTTCAGTATTTTGAAATCAAAGCAGGCAAAAAAATAATGAAAAAAGTGCAGATACTAGTTAGGGAGAGGCATTAATACTTTCTAAACAGCAAATGCAGAATGATGCTGTGCTATTTAGAGTAGAGATGATCTAGACCAGAGGTGTCAAACTCAAGGCCCACAGGCCAGATCTGACCTGCAGGGTGTTTTGATCTGGCCCACAGGGCTGCCCTGAAAACGCTATATAGCTCTCCCGAGCTCCATTTTCACTGGCAGAGTTGCAGGAGACCATCACAGCCAAAAACTGAGCTTGTAAGCCCATTTTCGCTTGCAGAGCACTCAGGCCACCATAAGCGCCCCTGACATGAGTGATGTTGAGCTGGCTACACTCACACCAGCCACACACACACACACACACACACACACACACACACACACACAGAGTCATTGTCGTTGTCCCCGCAGGGTCAAACACAACCCTGATGCGAAATTGAGTTTGACAGCCCTGATCAAAAAGTATCATCCATTAGAAGGGAACTGCTTAGTGTCCCACACACTCTGAAGCATCTCTCTATCCTCTGAATCCAAAGCACTGCACACCCTACTGATTTTCCTAAAACTAACTAGCTTTAGGCAAATTAGCTAGTTAACTAACTAACTTGTGGAACTGAGAGATGTGAAAATCATAAGATAATAGACGAAAAGTGTCATGATGCAAAATCCACATATCTGAATCTGCGTGAGAGATCAGGGCTTGCAAAACAATCCTTTAGCAATAGCAGTTAGACTTATATATCGCTTCATAGGGCTTTCAGCCCTCTCTAAGCAGTTTACAGAGTCAGCATATCGCCCCCAGTCTGGGTCCTCATTTTACGCACCTCGGAAGGATGGAAGGCTGAGTCAACCCTGAGCCGGTGAGATTTGAACAGCCGAACTGCAGNAGCAGTGGGCACTTCTCACTTGTGCAAACGCAGCTACATACACGTGCGCACTTGTCCACCGCTCAGGCAGAACCATCCTCTTTCCCTTCTGCCGCAACCACTAGTCCACAAAGACAGAAAGGTTGGGGACTGCTGTAGTAAACCTTTAGCCACTGTTTGTACCAAACTCTAAACTAAAAGCCAATCAAACCACATCACAGTTTAGTAAAATGTGTAATCCCACCCAGTGTTATCAAATGACCATCCCATGGGACATTGATACATGTACAAAAAGGAGTAAAGTTTCAGTCACTTAGTTGTGACTTCCATCTTGATTTTGATCAGGAGTCCTGAGCAAAATGCCTCTAACCATGACCTAGATATCTTTCCCTGCCCATATTCTCCCTTCTTCTTCAGCAAACATTCCTCCAGGAAATAGTTTTCAGTAGAAGCCCAGAGTTCTTACCACAGCAGGTTCTAGGGTCAATTCTTCTTCATGCGGTACAAAACGATCATCAGATGGTAATATCACCAACAGCTGACTGATGGGAGTTGGTGTAGTCTCCTAAATAATAAAAGATTTTGCTTCACAGGCTCATAAAAGTTGCATACAACAGTCAGAAGCAAATGGGAGGGAATTCTGTTCTACAGAGCCAGAAAGTGAGGCATGAGAAGGTACCTTGTTCTCCAATATATTTTTCTGGCCCACACTCGTGTAAGTTCAGTTCTCCTCTCCCCACCCAGCCGGGCTGCCAAGCTGCAAAGGTTGGGGACTGCTAATCTAAGGCTTAGCATGGTTTCCATTATAAAACAATGAAAGTTTGGGGGGTTTTTTTCCGGCTACCACCGTTTTGTTGATGGTATAAATCATATCAAAATCACATTAATGCATACAATTTATATCCCATTCCTCCTGAGTGTTATTTAGTGACATAAATAACATGCAGGAGCATAAAAACCTGCTATTTAAGTTCATATTTTGAAGTTATTACAAATGTACTATTTTATTAAAATGGTAAATAGACCCTCAGGCTGCTTACTGAGGGCCAAAGGAAAAAACTATAGGTTCACTTTCCCAACTTTGGTGTCATTCATATGCACTGGGTTGCATTTCCCATCATCCCCAATTAGAACTATAGGAAGAAGAGAAAGGCAGCTGAGTCAGGATGATACCTGGAATGCTCTTAAAGCTGGCAGCAATACGGGGGCCTGGAAGGCCCAGTCATCCACATGGCTTAAGTCCAACAGCACTGTCAGCCCAAGAATCTTTAGTTCTTGCCTGGAACACAGGTGAAAAAAAACACAAGTAGAGTTGCTTTCTTTTCAGCATCACGTTTGCCAGTTTGACTTAACATAACACTTATCAAAAAGGCCAAATCATAGGAAAATTGGGCAAAATGATTTGTCTGGAGGCATTTCTAAGAGCTTTTGTATGAGAGGGGGGGGGAGGGAGGGAGAAGAGATTGATTCTCGCTTGGTAAAGTTTTGTCAGGTGTATAGATTTTTATCATAAATGCATGCAATGGTCAGAATGGTGGAACGCGGTGGCTCAGTGGCTAAGAGGCTGAGCTTGTCGATCAGAAAGGTCAGCAGTTCAACGGTTCGAATCCCTAGTGCCACGTAATGGAGTGACTCCCGTTACTTGTCCCAGCTTTTGCCAACCTAGCAGTTCGAAAGCATGTAAAAATGCAAGTAGAAAAATAGGGACCACCTTTGGTGGGAAGGTAACAATGTTCCATGCGCCTCTGGCATTTAGTCATGCCAGCCACATGACCACGGAGACGTCTTCGGACAGCGCTGACTCTTCAGCTTTGAAACGGAGATGAGCACCGCCCCCTAGAGTCAGGAATGACTAGCACATATGTGCGAGGGGAACCTTTACCTTACCATTCTATTTGTAAATGGCTTCTAACTGAGGTAGTCGCTAAATAGGGTGTGTGTAATTATCAAACCTGTTACAAAGTACTAAATCAACAATTGGATATAGATTATAGTAAGAATGATAATAAATATAATGAATATGGATAAATCTTAACAAATCAGAATTTTCACTCCAGTAACAAATATGGTAGCCAATATACTCCCTAAATTTAAAATAACCTTGAATATTATTGACTATTATTATATAATCTTGAGTATTACTGTATCTATACTGTGGATATTAATAATTCTATGTTATTTCTTTGAAAAATTAAATGACTGCCTATTATCCTATAATGCAACATAATCTGCTAAGAAACACATAAATCAAAATTAAAACTCCAGTTTATTTTAATCAAAGATTGTGTGGCAACCTATACAGAGGAAGAAGATTTAGCTCATTTTCATAACTGCTATATTCTACTAGCTTATGAATAACCTCTTCCAAATAAGAAAGCTCAAAGGCATTTTTAGTATTTGGGGTCAAAACAACCATCCTTTGCAAACAAAATGCTTTTAAGCTAATTGGATTCTTAATGGCTTCCCATGGCAGTTTCCTGACAGTTCTGATTTTATGAGAAGAATTTCCTGAATTTTTCACCTGCCTCAATGAATTACTTCAATCTTTTGGAAGGGAGCCTTGACTGCTTCATCTGAAGGCAATTTGATATATAGTACAGCCATTGCATCAGTTGGACTGACCTAGTGGATTTTTAGCTGATTTTGGCAAGACAACTTTCTTTAATAAACTAGTTAACTTTGTTGCCTGTGACAAGGGAAACAGCATTCTGACTAAGCAAGGGCCTAAGTATATCACTTATTTACAAATTATAGCTAAAAGCCTTAAGACAAGGTAACATGGCAGCAGCCTCTTACTCTATATATCTGGGCATTCCTCATTTATCACGCTATCATCTCTGGCTTAACAAATGCTAGAACATAGCAGAAGCAGATCGAAGTATTTTGTGAGCATCTTGTCAGTGATATGTGTGGCTTGAACTACTTTTGTCTCTAAACTCTGACATTGGTAATGATGACAAGAGAAGGTAATGAATCCAGACTGCAATACAGTCACTGTCACTGAGACTCAGGAAGAACAATTCTGGAGAAAGACTGACAGCAGCATCCCAGCAGTGGTTCCTTGATGCTGTTATCTCCTTTTGTCTTGTCAGGAAATTTTTGTTACCTGAGAAGTGAGTGCATGTATCTTAAGGTATTAACCAGATCCTCTTGTCCTGGAGGCAACTCATCCTGAAGAGGCTGGGGCACTATGGTTAGCAAGGAATGGCCAGCCTTGTCTATTCCTCCTAGTGTGGAGAGAAACAGAAGGAAAATATAAGCTTTAAGTCATAACTTTATCCCAAATTGCAATGCTTCTGGCATCCACTGCAGTAAACACAAAATATGAGTTGGCTTCCCGGTTACCAAACCTCATAGTTAGGGCCAAAACAGTCTGAATTCAGCAGCCATCCACATGACCACTCCCAGATATTCAGAATTTCAACAAAGGAGTGCATGGAAAGAACCACATTCCTACCAACCACACTGGATGAATTATGATCTCTAGTGCTTTATAAGATTTAAACCACTTGTAGGATTTTTTCCCATTCTCCACAAATAGTCTTTGCTGGGTGCATCAGATTGCTGCAAACCACAAAAAGAACTGCACACCAAATGGAACAGCACCACATGACCATTTATTTATATGACTTGGGTTACCATATTATAAAAAGTGCATATCTATCATACTCCATTAACAACTCTCCAAAATAAAAAAAAATGAATTTCACTTGAGCATTTATGCAATTTTCATAAATTAAAATTTCTCTTGATTTGTTTTCCCCTGCCTTGGCTGGAAAAGTGAAACAGAGTGACTTCCAAGCTTTGTGACATGGAATATGATCGATGTAAATAACCCATGACACTGACATTGGGCTGTAATTCCCAACCTCAGGACTACTGTACATCTGTCTTAAAACTATGTATTAAGGATATATTACATGAATAATAAAAACCCTTGGTTTTCCTTACGAAGTCAATACTAATTGCAGCACCAGCATTTTATAAGCGTATGGAAAGTTGAAATGCAATTACTTTCAAGAAGAAACAGAAGTTGGGATCTTTATTTACGCAGATACAAAGCAGATGTGGAAGACAGTTCTGAGGACAGACCACTGGAGTTCATAAGCTACACCAACCTATCAGACCAAAATAGATTGTGTCTGCATGTGTGTCTATAAGTGTGTGTTCTACAGGAAGAACATCTGAGCTCATTTTCTCCATTAAAAAAAACAACTGCTTCATCTTCCAAATTGTATGTTGCTGGAAAAATGCTGTAACTTCCCCCACAGATCCAGTATTCCATTTCCTACAACATATCATGTTGCAGCAAATACAAAATACATACATTTGGAGTCTGGGAGAAGTTAACATAAGGTCATTTACAGAGGAAAAATTCCCCATCTCCTCCTCCTACCGATAGCAAATTGTGAAATCCAAAAGTTTCAGGAGAATGAGAGAAACAATCAGGGATAAAGAAGGGGTGGGGAAGAGAGAAAGTTGCTAGAAAACAGAAATAGCCTGAATCAGAATCCCATTTTATGCTAACATAGCTGAACATTAAAGATGAAATTTTTGTTACCAAGTTTTTGTGGGAAGATGAGTTAAAGGCGAGAGGATAAGATGAAGGACATCTTCCCATTAACTGCTGTAAGACTGCAGTTTTATCCCAAACGGTATTTTCCCATTGTGATGGATCAGTTTCTATCATTCCAAGTCAGCAGATTCAATGATTAAAAAAACAAATCTGTTTATAGACATGTTTGTGTAGGATTGGGGAGGGGGACAGAAAAGAGTGGTTATCTGGAAAGGTTACTTGCAAGTATTGTTTATGTGCTATTCTTGCCATTTGTAATTGGATTGGATAAGAGCCAAGGTGGCGCAGTGGTTAAATGCAGCACTGCAGGCTACTGCTAGATCAGCAGGTCAGCGGTTCAAATCTCACCGGCTCAGGGTTGACTCAGCCTTCCATCCTTCCGAGGTGCGTAAAATGAGGACCCAGACTGGGGGCGATGATATGCCGACTCTGTAAACCGCTTAGAGAGGGCTGAAATCCCTATGAAGCGGTATATAAGTCTACTGCTATTGCTATTGCTATTGCTATCATCACACACATTCAAAACCGCATGACAAGGTGCAGAGGAGGCCCTTTGCCTCCCACAGAGGCCGAGGGAGCAGCCGGATTGATTGATTCATTGATTGCTTTGGATTTCGATTTCGATTTTCTTAGCCGCCCATCTAGGCAAACGACTCTGGGCGGCTCGCAATTCAGACCGTACATGACAGTTGAAATTTAAAAAAATGATAGAAATAGTAAAAAGCTTTACTTTTTACTAAGGAAAAGGAAAGGA